CAATTTTAAATACACATAAATTTAGTGTCATAGACTTTGTACTCGTTTTTTTGCCCCCCCCCCCCCCAAAAAAAAGACTTTGGACTTTCATGGATATATTCAGGTATATATATCGAAACTCTATAAAATTGCACTGGACAGCTTCCATTGGTTATTTACGTTTACATATATTTAAAATATCTTAAAATGAATACAAAATTAATTTAGTTGTTAGTGTAAACGTAAACGAATTGTTTGGGGTTTACCTATGTATTTTGCAGAAATCTTTCAAAAAAGTAAAATTTTCACATGCAAAGCAAAATCGTAAAAACAATGTTTAACACAAGCGATCGAGGCCTAAAATCTACAACGTACCAGCAAGGACAACGAGATCTTGGGTATTAAGATTTTTTTCGGCGAACCTCAGCTTCTGTACGGCAACGGAGTCGGTAGGTCCCGGCAAAATGACATTCGAGGCTAGCGAAACCCGGCCATCGAGTCGCCCCAATGGAACTGGCCACCATGGTCCACCGGCCTATATACATACATATAAAACTTTCACTTAATCACGATCAATAGATAAACATATATATGCATGTGACGTTAAAACCAAGACGCACGATAGACTTGTGTATATAAATAAAATTATAAAAGTAAGTTATACCAAATTGACGAAGTCGCGTGCAGCGAGTGCGAGAATATCAGCACAAGAGACAGTTCGAGGACAAGCGATCTCAAGCTGCGTCTTAGCTTCTTCGATGACATTAAACCCTCTCAACGATAGATTCGGAATCGCCGTTCTCTCGGAGTTAGGTCCGGCTAGGAGAACGGAGGCGTCACAGCCTTGGACGAAACAATCGTGAAAGTGCATACGCAAAATGCCCGGAGCATTAGCTGGATTAGCAAGATAGTTAGACTCGACCACGGACCGCACTATCGATTCTACATTCCAGCATGCACTACCGTAATACCCGATCCGTGGCCTTGGGAGGAAAACGTTTTTATGTGTTGCATTCGCGGCTAGGACAAGGAAAAACGGTAAGAGAACGTAGCAAGGATTAATTTTAGTAGAACTTCCCATTTTGGTTTCTTCTTAGTTTTTAACCAAAGGGTGCATATATGTAAATATGATTCAGTTATTACTTTTGATTTGTTGTGTTTAACAGTTTGAGATTTGTGTGTGTATATTTATAGTGGAAAAAAATAAAATATTTGTAGAGTGAAATGAGTAAGCAATGCCGGGTTACTCATTAAATTGGAGCTACGTTGAATTAATCTTTATTTTTTATTTTGTTGATTTGTCTTGTCAATATTGTAATTAAGCATATTACATATGGTCCATGATGTGCCTAACTAAGCTATAAGTAGATTTGTTAGCTCTCTCTTTTAATCCTAATTAACTTTTATGCTATTTAGCTTATAGATCATTCCGGGAAAACATTAGTATTATTTGAACCCCAATCAAGAGGTGCTGTGGTGACTCGTGAATACTACTTTTGTCACAAAAA